GCTCAGTGGGAAATTTGAGCTTCGATTTGCAAAAGGCAGAAAAAGTAACAGGTCTCACGTTTCCAGAAAAGGCGTCTTTCTCTGAATCCAGTTTGCATGGGTTGTTCCAGAAATTGGTTTGCTCTTTGGAGGGCGGACAGGGTTTAAGAAGGTTAAGGTGTTTCCTTGAGGAGCGGAGGAGCTGACTGCCTCTTAGATTTCTTTTAGTACTTGAACGGTTCTTGTGGAGATGAATCCCCTGCTCAGTGTGAAGCTCAAACAATCCTTTGGGGAAAACTAGATCCAAACCTTCAGTTTGAATCCCCAGCTCAGTTTGAAGCTCAAGACGATCCTTCCAGGGGGAGAAGGACCAAAACATCCAGTTTGAAGGATGACTTCCTGCCGAGAGGCAAAGACAAAAACAACAAGGTTAAGACTCAGGTTGACAAAAACTCAGTTTGAATCAGCAAAACTCAGCTTGGCTAGAGTACCCAAAACTGGCAAACAATCTGGTGTCTAGGTAGTGGCAGTCAGCAGCTTAAGAGTCCTCAGGTTATGAGGCAACCATCCGCAGGTGTGTGAAAGGGCCAACGAGAAGCAGGCGCCACCTGGTGGTGGAAGGAAAAAAAAACAAAAAACACAACCCACATAAACTGGATTCCTAACAATAAGCCTCTGTCTTCTCCCCACTCTCAGTCCTTCCTCTCAGGGTCTCTATGTGATGTGTCTTTTGTGTCCCTAGACGCCGTTTGGTCGTCTTTCAATGTCTTTTTAGTGAATTTTTGCTCGGTGGAATGAAGTTAAATGTTAAAAGGTCCTGTTTTCAGTTAACACTCCATGTGGCAGTTATAGATTACTGTGGCGTAATGAAAATGAGGCAAGATTCTGGCCCTTTTAAAATACCACCATGATGTCTGAACAGCTATAAAATCTATAAAAGTTTGAGTGTCATGAACGTTTAATTGCTGAAAGATACCTTATTAAAGTTTCCAGAGTTTACCATTAAACAATGAATAATATATTCACAGTCCAGTTTGCTGCAAAAGAACAAATGCATTTTTCTGAAAATAAGGAAAGCTGCTTATTATTGCATGTGAAAGAGTTGTGGATGGAATAACAACGTCATGCTTTTGAACTCATGCATCTGTTAAAAGTCCTCTGCAGAGTGATGTGACAGAATGTGAGGCCTGGAATTAGCACTATGCCCTGTCTCATGTCGGAACATGGAATGTCATATTCGCATATGAGAAGCTATGGCAAAACATGGGATTATGCTTGTAAGAAGATTAGCTTGCTTCCTAAATTGATTAGACTGAGATTGAAATGTTGGTGTCAATACATATAGTTTAAAGGCAGATGACTTTTTCATGTAGATGCAAATGGAGCAGAGTTGAAATTGGGTAAAACAGAGTTAATAGATATATGTAAATCTATTTTCCTAGAAAAGGGCTAACTTTTTATGTGTAATCCTCTCTCCATATAATCTCAGGCACCCTGAGCCGACTAAAGGATTTAAAAAACAGGATTTTATAAAACTGCTGTTGCACCATAATAGACCCAGTATTATAGAAAATAGCAGAAACATGTGACAACATGAATAAGGAGTATTCACTGTATTACATTCATTAACCTAAACAGACATTTATTCAATGCTTTTGATATAGTATTTTTCTTTTACCATATTCATCCAAACACAACTCTTCAGCTATAATGGGAGTTTTTATTATTGAACCATGGTTAAATTTATTGTGGTTTTGTTCAGGAAAGCACCTCAAATCAAACCTGTCTTGTCCCTAAAGAAGAGAAATGTCCAGCCTCACTTCTAGAATTGCCCAGCTCATGTTGGGGTAGCTCTGCTTGTCTGATTTGAAGTCGCAGGGAAGTCATATTTAAATTTCAAATCAATATGGCTTAAAACTGTATATAAATGAATTCTTTATCAGACCATATTCACCTAAAAGTTAGAAAACGTCTCTTAGAAAAGAAATTCTGCCTTAATCTGTGTTTTTTTCTCATTATCTTATGCAGGCCAGTTAGTTCTACGTCAGCCTGAACACCTAAATTCGGCCAATCGTATATCAACGGTCATCT